TGTGCAGGACACTGCCGTTCATGCCGTCGTGGAGTTGCCTCACAATGGCGATGAATTTTGGTGGGCAGCCAAACCGGCCGAGGGTCCACCAGAGGGCTTCCCTGTTGACCGAGTCGAAAGCCTTGATTAGGTTAATAAATGCCATGTTTAGGTCATGACGCTGTTCTCTGCACTTTTCCTGTATCCGGCGGGCAGCAAAGATCATGTCAACGGTACCACGTGATGGTCTAAAGCCACATTGAGATTCTGGGAGGACTTTTTCCGCCTCAGGTAGTTGTCGGTTTAGGAGGACTCGGGCGATGATCTTGCCAGCAACGGACAACAGCGAGATCCCACGGTAATTGTCACAGTCTGACCGGTCTCCATGCAGTACTATACGAGGCACTGGCAACTCAAGGCACGCCGAAAGGGGCCATTTCACGCCTTTACAAACATATTCATTTAAATCAGTTGCTGTACACATCGGCTAATGAAAATCAGGCTATTAGCTTAAATTATTTTTTTAAGATCAATTTTTTAAACTAATCAGTGCTCGAGCTTTCAAAGGCAAGAATTAAAGTGATGTCAAGTACTCAGAACGGCAGTACATTGTGGGCGGAGTTTCTAAAGCCCCGTCCACACGATCGAGCAGTGCCCGGCGGGCTTTGCCCGTTTACCTGGCAAAGCCTGTGTGTTGTTGTACACACAGGGGTGGTTGGCTCCTGTAGCTAGTAGGTGGTCGGCAGTGGCGGGTGCGGTACGATCTCCATGGTGTGTCGCAGGAGTAATCGCCGGACAGTTAAAGCGAAGAGCATAGCGTTGTGTACTATAATTCACTGCCCTGCATAGTTTTTGAGGTTTGTGTATTATTAAGCTTTTCTGGGTGTATTTTGCATGCTGATCTCAAAAATGTTATCCATTTTGCTCAATCAGATCAGAATTTTGTGCTATAGCATTTTAAGCGGAGATTCAGGTAAAATATTGGCATTTTTCGCTCAAAATGGGGTCCTCATATTCGTTCATTAAAAAAAATCATCCAAGACATTGGCAAGCCTCACAGAAAAGATTTCGGTCAGTTTTAATGCCCTTACGATGCATTTAAATACACCTACGTGCTCGCCGGCCATTTAAATGTCCGCCGTGACGCAAAGGAAAAGAGTATATGTCCGTGTTTTTTTACATATATTTTTTCACAATTAAATTTCTTTTTCATCTGGTGGTACATGGCATGTTTCCTCTGTCTGTGGGATAGTCGAGCAGACAAGCAGCACTACATGCAACGTGACTGGCCTGCAAGAAGTGGACTTACTCCAGGTTCTCACAATGTTGTTGCCCATGCTCTGGTGAATCCACAGAACATTCTTCTTCCGCCACTGCACATCAAGCTCGGTCTGTTCAAAAACTTTGTAAAGGCACTGGACAAAAAAAGCCAGGCTTTCAATTTTCTGAAAGAAAAATTTCCAAAAGTCAGTGAGGCAAAGCTGAATGCAGGAATTTTTGATGGCCCTCAGATCAGAGAGCTTTTCAAAGATCCCAAGTTTGATTGCAGCATGGATGTAAATGAGAAGAAAGCCTGGCATGCCTTTAAGTCTATTGTCTCCAATTTTCTTGGCAACTACAGAAGTCCAGAGTATGAACGAGTTGTTGAGGACCTACTTCTGAGCTACAAAGTTCTTGGTGCACGCATGTCCATCAAGATGCACTTCCTCAGCTCCCACTTGGACTACTTTCCAGAGAACTGTGGTGATGTGAGTGAGGAACAAGGAGAACGCTTCCATCAAGATATCCGTGTAATGGAGGAGCGGTACCAGGGTCGCTGGGATATCAACATGCTCGCCGACTACTGTTGGTGTCTGAAACGGGACGCCCCAGACACCAACCACCAAAGAAATTCTCTGCGACAGCCATTTATGCATGTCTAACTGTAAAGGCATCTATGTAGTTGACATATTTTGGTCCTATGTGTTGTGGTTACATTTCTTATGATATATTTTGCATAAAATTTTGACATCATATTTAAGAATTTCGATTTTTTCCTAATTCCCATAGCATAAAAATCTGACCTGATTGGGCAAAATGAATGGCATTTTTTGAATCAGCACGCAAAATACATAAAGAATCAGCTAAGAAACCCAGCACCAAATGAATTTTTTTTTCAAATGCAGCCCAGTGTAATAAATGCTTCTATGTGCAAAAAGAAGAACCAAATGCAGAAAAGGGAGTGGTTAGGTCGAAGAAAAGTATTGGGAAGTCATGCCACGATTTTACGTGAACTGCAAGATGGACATGAGCAAGACTTCACCAATTACATGAGAATGGACCCCAACACATTTTACAAACTTCTAGCGAAAGTGGAACCATATATAAAAAAACAGGATACCAATATAAGGGAGAGTTTACCTGCAGAGGCTCGTCTAGAGGCAACACTCATATATTTTTCAACTGGGTGCACCTACACGTCACTTCAGTATAGAACGAGGATATCAAAACAAAATTTGTCTGGCATAATACCTGCAACTTGTCAAGTCATGTATGAAGTACTCAGGGAAGATTACTTGCAGGTGAGATTTGTAGTACATAAAAATTCATTGAATAATGTTAGAATTATGATATGCATAGACAGGAAGCTATGGGACTAGAGTGAGGAGAGCGGCAGGAACGAAGAACACACACGAATGTCCTCATTACACAATACATAAACAATCACCCGTTTATTGTCACGCCAATAATGTACATTGCATAAGCTTATTTGGTTATACACTGGACATCTGGACCGAGCTGGGAACATATACGTATCACATTTGCAGTACTTAACTCAGGTTTTACAAAGTGCTATCATACGTTCTGTCAGTCTCTGTTCATACCTCACCGACTTAAGGGCCCCGACCCCCGAGGTCAGCGGTGGCGTAGTGATCAGCTGTTTTTGATTCACGTGAGGTTCCAATAATAACACGTGTCTTGTATTGCAGGCTTGTGAAATGTTGAATATTAATGACAATATTATAGGAATGTCGGTTTTCCGGTTTTATCGATTATTAATAATGAAAATATTAATACATTAATATTTGTGAAGGGGTCCCCGGGCAACTTGTTTGTCTGGCAGAGTCGTCACTCCATATCCGGCAGCAAACTACCAGGCAGGTGGACCATGATTTCGCTCAACAACGGGCACGGGCACTACGCTGGTTTGCCCGCCAATTTTGCCGGAAACGGGCATTTAGCGCATGCCTGCCGGGCACGGCTTGATCGTGTGGACGGGCCTTAACAGATGTACCGAGATCTTGGAGATAAGACCGACATTCTTTCAGAGATTAATTACTTCGAAAATATAAAACTAATAATAGCAAAACAAACATCAGATATGGCGATTGGGAATCAAAATGATCTAACTTCAGTAGCAATTGGAAACTCGCGCCGTCCCCAAGGACGATGTCATGATAAATCACTTCTACTGGTAGAGTCTACACTGAACTTATTTGGTAATTTTCTAAAAGTAAATATAGTTGAAGCTTTCAACATCACTCACAAGGGATCTTGAATGCTTCATCTGTAAGTAGACATTTCTAACTTAATGTAAAACACATGCATCCCCTCTCAATTTCAAATCTCTGAAGATCATGTGAGATTCAGAGATAGTAAAGTCTCTGAGGTACCCAAGAGAAACGGAGGTCTCAAATGGTGGGCTCAATAAAGAAGTCACATCTACATGGGTTATCGAGTGTAATATGAATCCTTCGATTTCACGTTAACTAGCATGTACGACCGTGGTCAGTACACAATGTCCCGAAGTCTAAATAAACCAAGTCTACCCTAGCACACTACCTTTGAGTTAGTCACTTGAACTTCTCGAGTAATCATTATTTTTATGATATTCCTACTCTCATTAAAGATTATTATTATTATTATTAACAATCTTCTTCCTATCTCTTAATATTTATACTTCGATTTTTTTTTGCTAGTATCATTGTAAAAGCAATCGAGTAATCATAGTCATATGGGATAGCTATTTACTGGAGAGGAGCAGAAGGAATACAAGAATTATATAGAATGGTCAAAGAAAATTATAAAAAATTTTAATGGTTATAATTATCTTCATTCTCTCCCCAAGCTATTACAGTAAATACAAGTACAGTATATATGTGTAGAGGCTTTCAATTTATCAATATGGCCACTCGATATACTACCCAGGACTAGGCTATACAACAGTTTCAAGCAACAAATAGGTACTTTTCTCCACATCCGGTTTCCTGGTCGAAAGTTAGACTTCAGGAAATTTAAACATGCCAACTGCTCTCAAGTATTGCCCTTCCTCCTGATGCTTACCGAACTATCAGAAATAAGAGTAACTCAAGCAACTAGAAATGCCAGGCGTAGCTATTACACAAATAAGCTCCAGTCAATATTAGGCAACAGTAGGAAACCCAAAACATCATCAATTCTATTCACAACAGGAACACTCAACCTTTGCCCCCCCCCCCCGCCCCCCCACTCAGTTTTTATGATAAATGATTCAGTTGTAACAAAACTCTCATTAACAACTACTTCAATGGCCATTTTATCAATGTTGACAAAAATCTTGCAGATAGCATCCCTAATCACCATGAGGAATTTAGAGCCTACCTGCAACACAGACGGCAAAATGAGCTGTTCTTATTCCCTGTCACAGCAGATGAATTACTGGCCATCATACAAATGTGTATCAGCAATAAAAGGTATCAGACATTCCTTAGAACAATCAGAACTCTATTCCCTGAACCAATTAGGTTTAACATCTTTTAACACGAAGGAAATTTTTTATCAATGTACAGTCCTTAACTAGAGCGTTTACAGGGACTCAAATATTCCACAAATGATTACAAAGATATATTTGTTTAAATGTGGTTTTAATAGGATGCCATAGCATGTTTACCAATACGAGTTTCCTTTTGTCGGATGTAAACGAACAGTGAAGCCACAACACTGCACAAAACCTGAAAAGCACAAGTGATGGGGACTACATATTTGTGGTTCATAAAAAAACATTCATTAGACCAAATATATTTGTAGGTTTAACATAAAATTACATAAAAATCAAGGTTCCGACTTTAAAGAAGTAACATACAGAGCATCCTCGTGGTGCTCGGCTTATGGTCCAATATAAGTATGGGGGGTAAGATAGGGATCGTAGAAGGCTTCTTTGTCACAGTTTAGTTGCTTAGGAGGAAGCGCTACGCCCCGCATCACCAGCCTAGTGACGAGGATGGTTTGGTCGTCTCTGCCCAACAGTACGTAATGATCTGGTAGCTGTGGGAACCTCTGGCCTGGTGTGCTCAGGTATAGCACCCACTGCACTCTTGGTATACACTCTTCACTGAACACAACCAGCTTTTCTCCTGAAAAGACAACCAACATGTATTATGAAGGAGAGGATAGAGGAATCATTGGTCCTACTCAACCACCTTATTGGACCCTTCAAGACGTCCTTGTACACTAAGTCGATGCTTAACTTATGTAGGGAGGGGGAGACAACCCCCGAGAGTTGATGACATACATACATACATGTATTTAACATACATACATACATGTAGTTAACATACACACACATTTAACATACATACACATTTAACATACATACATGTAGTTAACATACACACATTTAACATACATACACATTTAACATACATACAGTTAACATACATACAGTACATGTAGTTAACATGCATACATACATGTAGTTAACATGCATACATACATGTAGTTAGCATGCATACATACATGTAGTTAGCATGCATACATACATGAAGTTAGCATGCATACATACATACATACATGTAGTTAACATACATACATACATGTAGTTAACATACATACATACATGTAGTTAACATACATACATACATACATGTAGTTAACATACATACATACATGTAGTTAACATACATACATACATGTAGTTAACATACATACATACATGTAGTTGGTAACATACATACATACAGTTGGTAACATACATACATACAGTTGATAACATACATACATACAGTTGATAACATACATACATGTAGTTGATAACATACATACATACATGTAGTTGATAACATACATACAGTTGATAACATACATACATACATGTAGTTGATAACATACATACATACATGTAGTTGATAACATACATACATACATGTAGTTGATAACATACATGCATGTAGTTGATAACATACATACATACATGCATGCATGTAGTTGATAACATACATGCATGCATGCATGCATGTAGTTGATAACATACATGTTGATAACATACATACATGTAGTTGATAACAAATACATACATGTAGTTGATAACAAATACATACATGTAGTTGATAACAAATACATACATGTAGTTGATAACATACATACATACATGTAGTTGATAACATACATACATACATGTAGTTAACATACATACATACATACATGTAGTTGATAACATACATACATACATGTAGTTGATAACATACATACATACATGTAGTTGATAACATACATGCATGCATGTAGTTGACAACATACATGCATGCATGTAGTTGATAATATTCATGCATGCATGTAGTTAGTGGATAACATACATGCATGCATGTAGTTAGTGGATAACATACATGCATGCATGTAGTTAGTGGATAACATACATGCATGCATGTAGTTAGTGGATAACATACATGCATGCATGTAGTTAGTGGATAACATACATGCATGCATGTAGTTAGTGGATAACATACATGCATGCATGTAGTTAGTGGATAACATACATGCATGCATGTAGTTAGTGGATAACATACATGCATGCATGTAGTTAGTGGATAACATACATGCATGCATGTAGTTAGTGGATAACATACATGCATGCATGTAGTTAGTGGATAACTAACATGCATGCATGTAGTTAGTGGATAACTAACATGCATGCATTAAGTTAGTGGATAACATACATGCATGCATGTAGTTAGTGGATAACTAACATGCATGCATGTAGTTAGTGGATAACTAACATGCATGCATGTAGTTAGTGGATAACATACATGCATGCATTAAGTCAGTGGATAACATACATGCATGCATGTAGTTAGTGGATAACATGCATGCATGTAGTTAGTGGATAACATGCATGCATGTATGTATGTAGTTAGCTGAGAACATACATGTAGTTGATATGTATGCAGGGGGAAAATATATAATTATGTAGCGAGACAACATACTGTAGTTATGGTAATGAGAAGATCATTGATAAACGTGTACGTACATAAATGATTGTACAACTAAACTTATACTAAAAAATATTAGTGTGTACTTACCAAACAGCTTGTACACCAAAGGGAATACTTTAAGCTGCACAGCTATAATAATGGTTGATCCACAAGCATCATTACCAGCAAAGAAAGCCAACAACGTCGCCGAGGCCGCTAAGCGATGGCTGTCCACACAGATAACCGTCTTTGTATTCAGATCCACAGCATAGAGCTGAAATATTACCATTGTTAAAGTTAGTATAGTAAACGGCTCGCCAACCGTTAAAATAATAGCCATGTTCCTTCCAAACATTGTTAAGTACAGTAAGATCCCAAGAGGTAAAAGCAGATGCCTTAAAGTTTCTGGAAGACATGTTGGATATTCTTAATAGTATCTAAAATGAGGGAGGACTATTTTACTACAATTTTATCTTTTTGCTACATGTCAACTTGCTAATTAGTCGGTTCTGTTAGGCACCACTGGCAAGTACTGGGTATGTATCTATGGATGGGTCTGATGAATTTTAAAAGGACATTGCAACTCCTGTTGTCTAAGCATGATTGTCAAAATCCTTCACCCATTGGCCCCCCCCCCCCAATGTTACTATTGACCTAACCCTGGCGTCTCTCCCCAATTAGGCTCGCGCACCCCTTGGCCCAACTGCTTCATCCATTCTCACCACAAGCATATACCATCTCAGCCTGTCTATGCAGAAATGCCTATATTTAGCTTTCCTCTACCTCTGAAGAGCCTCCTGTCCTTCAGTGTCGCATTACACACCCACTTCCCCATTCTCATTTCGGCTCGCTAAAGTCTACTTGGGTCGTCTTTAACTACCCAGGTTTCGCTGCCATGCTGCATCACTTCTCACACCAGCCACATACATTCAGTTTCACTTAGAGTGAGGTTTCTCTTTCCGTCAGATTGTTTTTCAAATGAACATCCGTAATTACAGATACAAAGTCTTTAACCTACAAACCTCCAGGTCATACTGTGGTCCCATGCACAGGTCTCTGACCACAGATAGGACGAGGAAGACCTTCCCTGCCTGCTGGAACATCACCCCATCCACAATGTGTGCAGGGAACTCTAGGTTGTCTCCAAACACACCGTTCACCGCCACCTTACCAGAGCGTCCGTGGGCCCAGAACAGGACTCCTCGTACACCCGTTATTGACACGGTTGCAGCGAGACCTGCCGTAACACCAAGGTTATTAAGACAAATCATGGAGTTACTCATAATAGTAAAATTAATTTTTAAAATCTCTTCCAAGGTATTGATTACTAACTTTTTGTTTTTTTAAGTGTTCAGATAAACTGCCATATTTGTGACCAGCCGCACTAGCGATATCAGATTATCAAATGGCGAGGACCTCATTTAGTGCTGTAGATACTATCTTCAAGAGAAACCGACGCACCATGAAACATTGTCCCATTTAAGGTTTCCAGAAGAGTATGAAACGCAGGACTATCGTTCCTGCGGACTAAATTGAAGGAACTGGTATCATGGTAACCTCAAGGTCCTCCATGTTGAGCATTTTCTTCAGACGGCTTTATTTGACTTCGCCCCGCTCGAGAAGTAATTCCCATCGACCCTTCTCCCACCTGTACGATAATGCCGGGAAAATGGGTTTAAGGCCATCCCCATCTACCCTTTTATTTTATTATAACTGGCTTCCCCACTTTACAAGTTCAGTTTTCTTGGAAGGATTAATTTAAGATAATTTAACTAAATCTGAACTAGTGATCAGTGAACATATTAAATGGAGACTTCGGTTTCTAATAATGTTTAGATAAAGGTTTGTACGTGTCTCAAGTCCCCAAAACGTAAACAATGTACGAGAGAAACCCACAATGGCAGACAATAGGCATTTCTTTTCGTACAGGTTTATACTGTAATACTTAATGGTCATATTAAACTAACTCTGAACATAATTAGTCACCACACTTTACTAGTCATTTAACTTTCCTGGTGCATTATTTACACTCTCCCATGGCAGGATAAGAAAAAGAATAGACACTGATCCTTCTCACTTACCTACTATTCCAGGAACATTTTCAATCTGGATAAAGAATCCTGTCTGTACATGGAACCTGTAGACAAGGGTGTGGTTGATGGTGTGTAGGAACAGCAGTTGTGTTCCCTCACCCAGCAATACTGTCGACACACGTTCTGCAGCAGGTAGCTCCTGGTGCACCTGCCCCCCATGTCATTTAGAATTATTGGGAGACAAAACTTGAAACTTTATTTACCTCAAATTTCACCTCAACATTAATTTATAATTTAAGTTTTGTCGCCTTATATTCAACAATAAAAGTATCTATAGTGCGGGTTATTTTTCAGCTGAGAAAAAATGCCCCCCCCCCCAAAGAGTTGAGAGCTGATTGGCTGTTGCAAACCTGTCCGATTTTGTCGGGAGTAATGATGTATTTCTAAAAGTTTATTCATAATGACCGTTTCTGGCGAAAAAGATATTTAGCTAAGTTATATAAAGATACATACCTTCATTACTTCAAACAGGAGCACGTAGGAAGCTTATCAGAAGTATTATACGTGAATTAAACTCGGAAGCAAATTCACGCTTTCGGAGGATGCATTTAATACTCATTTTTACCAACAATAAGGCATACGAAGACAAATTACATTATGCAAAAACAACATTTTAAAATGAGAATCATCGAAATATTACGACCGTTAGCAGAGGCGGGAAAAATATGTAGTAGTTCGCAGTTATATTTCCCGCCTCTGCTGATGGCCGTGTAATATTTCAATGTAATTCTGATCTTTTAAAATTTTTTTGCATAAAGTAATTTGTCTACGTATGCCTTAGTGCAGGGGTTCTCAACCAGGGGGGGAAATCCCCCCAGGGGGGGAATCAGGTTTTCAGGGGGGGGGGAAACTGATTCGGGAGCAAGAGATATGTTCGATGAGAAATCAATCACAGAATTTTGGCCCTTGATGTGCGATTCCTACCCAAAAGTGGCAGAAAAAGCTATCCGTGCATTGCTTCCGTTTGTGTCTATATATCTTTGCGAGTCAGGCTTTTCAACTCTGTTGCAAATTAAAACGAAGCAACGTAGATTAGAGGTAGAAAATAACCTGCATTGTGCCCTTTCAAGCACTCCTCCGCGTATCCCAGAATTGGCGAAGAAAAAACAATCACAGGTTTCTCATTGACCGAGATCTTCATCTGAATAAAATTAATTAGAAATTTACAATATCCTGGTATTCTATTGAACTTTTTGTTTATTGCATTATGCTTCAGTTTGGTCTTTTAAGTAATTCATTATAAATATAAAAAAACTTTTACTTTTATTCAAGTTTCATAAATCCATCAACATTTTCAATTGGCATTTAATTTGTAAAACTCCACTATAAAAATAATCCATGTAAAATTGTAAATGTATATGTACCAACATGGAAAAAAGAACGGATTTTCAGTATTACTGTATATGCATATTATTTGGAATGCACTTTTTGAGGCAGACAATCTTGGAAAGGAGGGGGGAATGACATTCTGACATATGGTGAAAGGGGGGTGCATGGGGCAAACAAGGTTGAGAACCACTGCCTTAGTGGGTAAAAATGAGTATATTAAATGCATCCTCCGAAAGCGTGAATTTGCTACCCCGAGTTTGTTAATTCACGTACAATACTTCTGATAAGCTTCCTACGTGCTCCTGTTTGAAATAATGAAGGCGTGCATCTTAATACAATTTAATTAAATAACTTTCTCCGTCACAAACGGTCATTATGAATAAACTCTTTAATGAATCATTACCGAGGACAAAATCGGACAGGTTTGCAATAGCCAATCATCTCTTAACTCTTGAGGAGGAGGCGGGGCAGCTTCTCTCAGCTGGGGAAAAAACGCGCTATAGTAACGGTTTCAAGGATACAATTCAATGTCTTTTCCTCTAGTCTAGACCAAGTATCTTCAAATGCTACACAGGAAAACTACCTCTACACTGGAGTCCTCTCTGACCCGCCAAATGACACTGTTGTTTCTCGTACAGGTATTACCGCGAGGAGACCCAGCCATTGCTAACATCACCTGAAGAAGAACAAGTTTAGTCATTTCGAATAAAATCGACGTTTTTCTTCCTTCTACGTGAATAACAACGTTAGAAAAAAGTAGAGCTGTACTGACCTCATCTCTACCCTCCAGGTAAAGCCATTGATGAGAGTATCCAGAATTAAGAATGATCAACACCTGCATCAGCTGCGGAGTGACGGGGTCAAACACATACATCATGGAGTCACAAAGTCCTCCCTCCCACGTCATCACCACATAGGTCTTGTTGAATGCCTGATGTTGACAGTTTAAATGTTTTTATAGATGTATACAGGTAGATCAAACTAATGTTAAAAATATCAATTTACAGGTATACCAAACTAATGATAAAAACAGGTTTATTTCCTCCACTAAATATCCAGTCTGACACTAAAACTTTACCTGGAAGGATGTGGAAGAATGTCTATCATAGGGTAGTTTTATTTCACCGACGGCAATAAAGTAGTCTCCTTCGTATATAGAAGACTGAAGTCGTTCATGCAAGATTATGATCGGGCCACACATAATCTCATAATCTTTCTGGGGAGGAATGTTCACACGTGTCAACCATAAAATTTTCACAAGCAAATTTTATTGGATTTATTTTTCAAAGTATTGTCAATCCGCTACACTGATTCCATGTTACTTTATTCTGATGCCTTTGACGTAAAATGTTAACCACCAGAAACAAATATCCAAACAAACCTTCACTTGTTCAGTTTTATTGCTGTATTGAGCGAGAACCGCCGAAGTCTGCCTGTACAGTTCCTCCACCGCGAGATAGTCCACCTCTCCTACCACAACTAGACCTTGCTGTTGTGGTAGAATAATACAAACCTTAAAAAAGGGGTTTATATCTATTATACAACCAAAAACAAGTTTAATCACAGTGCACCAATCGGAGCACTCCACGGTAATGTCAGGAGCCAATTGACGCGGACCCATGCAGTTCTATTCGCAGTAAATATTCTTCCTGCACAGGAAGTGTAGGAGATTAACCCCAGTGACTTTGTGGCTGCCACAATAATGAGTATTTAGAGCCAAGTAAACCCCGTAATTTATCCGATTTTTTTATATATTTGTTGACAAGTAGAATTGCGAACCTAATAAGGAGTTTAAATATCTTGCCTAGTTGTTCAAAGTAGTAGTTTAAAGATCTTGGCTAGTTGTTCAAAGTAGCAATTTAATATACGTAAGAGCAAAACAACAGCAAGGCAATAGTTCCTGTACACAGCGTAGTTAAAACGTTAAATTATCCAAATACTTATACACGCTTAAAAAGTAATTGGGAAACAAACGCTTTCTTAACATATTCCAACTCACCTTTAGGATGATCCTTGCCTGGAACACCAGTTTACGGCTCAGCTGGGAAGCTTCGTCAACAAACCAGGCGTTGTAGTAGAGATCAAGCAGGTTGACACCATTGACGATACCTGTGGTGGTACTCAAGCTGCCCACAACTAATGGGCCACTGAAGATCACCAGACCTGTTGTGGCAATAATTAACGGATCAGTTTTTAAAAGACTTTTCTAAAACACCAAACCTTTACAGTTACTGAACAAAAAAAAAAAAAAAAAAAACTTTATACGAGACCATACCAAATCCAGCCATCAATGGGTCGACCAGCAGTTCATAAACCCGTTCCAATAGTTCAGTCTCTGGCAAGTGAAGTGATTTTGGCTTGTGACCGAACTAAGGACACACAAAGCTTCCACAACATTGCTACCACACCAAACCTGTTGTAGGCGTGATCAAGAAAAGATTCTAAAGGCATTCATACCATTTCACCAGACCAGGCCTCGGGAAAAAAAAACCTACGTTAAAGGTTTTACTCTGCACTTCTACGTTTACAACGGACTGAGATTTGTACGTTTTCAGACATCAAAGATACAAGTTCCGCAGATTATATTGCACACAGACCCGTGATTATATTGCACATAGCCCTCTAAATGTACTTGATTATAACCTACGAAAATTTCTAGATTATACGAAATCTTTATACGATAATACTTCAAATCTGTTCCACCCCAAAACGGAAATGCTAGGTTCTGTTGTGCATTCAAGAAAAATATCTTTAATTTTGACTGTCTCGTCTTGTTGCAGCCCTATGACCAGTTCCTCACCTTCTATCTCGGCGGTGGTGTTGAGGAGGATTGTCTGTTCTACGAGCTTCACCCTCACACTGTCGCCTGTCATGCCAGTTACCTCCACCCACTTCATCACCTCTATATCTCCCGCCAGCGTCACAAAGCCAGTCACTGTTTGACCACCCACAGCCTGAAGAATACAATACAATGAAGCTTCTATTTAAGGGATTATATGGAGAGGAATCCATTATTTGGAGGTTTCACTGCGTTAAATTACCTAATAAACAAACTTTACGTACAGTCGCTTAAAATATCTACATGTATACATAATTGTGTTGAGAATATATGAACGGACGAAGCATTTTGACAATCCTACAAAGACAACAGGAGCTAGCGTTCATTCTGAAATTCAACCCCCCCCCCACCAGAACAGATAGGTTTTGGAGCAACTGCAACTAAAGGTTTAGTATAACCGTGTGCTCTTACCCATATTGATCCTATGCATAGTCATGCTTCAGGCACTCACTTGTTCCCTCTTACAGGAATATACATTACTCAAAAATTATATTTAACTGCCAAAACTATACGAACAGAAAATATATCTAGGTTAGTTATGTTACGCTAAACAGGTTACATCTTACCCTCATGGTCACCCTCACTTCAACAGGTAGATACCAAGTGTTGACCATACCGTCCACGATCACGTCTGCAGTTGCCAAGTCCCCGAAGGTGACTGTAATCGGTATGGTTTGGTCCGTGGTGGTAGTGAAGTAGTCAGTCTCCAGCACCAGGCCATTGAGTGTCACTGCTCCCACTTGTCCCATAACAGCCACCAGCTCCATAAATACCTTCGCCAAATAGAACATCACGTCGTTAGCCGCTTGACCTCTTGTTTAAGTTGCTAATCTAGTTCGGTTCTTTGCCGATTTAACTACAGTTTCGGTGCCAGATTGTCTTAAATAAGCAGTGCACTTTAGTTAATATTTCAAACTCGGTTTAAACTTAAGGAGTAACATTCGTGCACCATAGACTTGGGATTATGAAAATGAATACAAAATTACTATAGGGTCACCGTGGATGGCTAGGTTGAGTAAAGGAAAAAGAAACTTATTTCAAGTGATGGAGGCGACAAATTAAATACGGCGATCTTGAAATTATCGGTGCACCTGGTATATGTATCCCAATGTGTAGTTCACAGTACATACCAGAGAAGACTGGATAGCCTGATCATCCAATAGGCTCACAGCATCTGCCAAGAGCGCGCGGTAGTCCACGCCATCTATTGTACCCTGATGAAACAGGAAGTGAATATTAAGACGTTGCGGGTTATTGTACTTTATTATATGACCTGGGAACTAAATTAAGGTTCAGAACTCTGAACTGGCAGAGGGGTGAACACATGATCCATCCAGCCAGAGATCCACTCACCTTCAGGATCAGTACAGCTGCCGTGACCGTCGGCGCTGTAACGGTTCCTTGTACGGTTATAGAGTCAAGATGTTTTGGAGAATTCTTCAGCACCAAGTGACTTAAATAGTCATCGAAATAAACTCCATTCACATAAGCGGCTTTAATGTTCTTAAAGGTGGTGGTGGTGGTGGTGGTGGTGGTGGTGGCTGTGAATGTTTTGGTCCCAGTGACTGTGATGGAGGAGTCATGGAGCCTCACAGCGTCCCTCAGACGATCAACAACATTTACAGAATTCAGGGAGTCGCCAAGCAGTAATTCCGTTATATTGACCATGTCGTGGAAATTTACATTACCTGTAATACAGTATAGTCTATTATAAAATACTAATAGAAGTTCACTACCCCCAAAAAATTTACAACTGATCGCAATGGTTAGGACGGTCTTTTACTGCAGAAATAAATTTCTAAACACAGAACTTAAATACATGTTCTTATAAGAATTTAATTTCAGATATACTACATGCTCCAGTCTTGGCCATCTAAACCCATATACGTCACATGAACACAGCACCGTAGGACAATCGCCGTGCCCCCCAAAAAGTAAGATATCCTTGACTAGTGTTAAATATGCACTAACAGTGCTACAATCTGTCATTTGAATCACTAATATTCTCTGGAAAAGTTATGGTAATTTGATGGCTAGTAAATTTTAAAAACTGCATTTTTGTATTTACGGTTCTGTACACATAAGCAGCACTTAGAAAATGTTTACCGATTAAAAAGTCGTCTCTTCTCCTTAATGTATTCGACATCAGCTTCTTTAGGTCCACGTCGCAGTAACGACCGATAAGGTGAACATACTGCTCGGCAAACAAATTGTAGAAATTATAGGCGGCGGAAATGACTTGGTCTGTGTGGAGGGTAAACAATTGGGTGGCCAGGTCGATTCCATTGGTGGTCTGTGCGCTGATGTCACCCCTCACACTAAACCCGCTCTGGAAAGTCTTCTTGCCTGTCAGTAGCGGAAAGTATGGGAAATACAAAGTTCCGAAATGTAAACATAATTGATCACTCACGTTATGCTAATCGAATCTTTCCCTTTCCTTCGTTTTACTGGTATTTATAATCTTGACAACCTTGCTGCTACTACTACTACTACTACTACTACTGTATATAATCTTCACTCCCTTGAAAAGCTGGAACAGCCTCTACACCGCTGTTATGACACCCTAATATCTTATTCAAGGTTACACAACCACTGGCCTCAAGATTTGTGCTAATGAAAGGGAATCTGTACTGACCTGTTATAAACTGTAGTGTTGACATGTCTTTGTAGACAGCGTCGGCACTCAGTTGGACGAGATCAATACCATTCACGAGCCCGCCCACAAGCACATCACGCAGCATCACCAAGTCTCCCCACGTGATGTAGCCGCGCAGGTAGTTATCAGATGACAGTTTAACAGCATGGACGCTTATATCACTTATGTTTATCCCGTTGGCACCGACCATGTTTGTGGTGGTGACAGAAAGCTCAACGTGGAGTTGCGAGAAGATCAAATTGCCAGATAGTGAAGACGACACGTCATCTGTGACCAGGTTGTCCTTTAGCTGCTGGATATCATAATTGTTGATGTAGACGGCAGAGAGAAAGCCAAGTACAGTGACTGTCCCCTCAACATTTAACACTCCATTGAAATCTTCTGGAGAATTCAGTTTTACTCTTCTCTTGGCCAGCTGAGAAATATCAATGGAGTTAACGGTGTAACCTTCAAACATGTTTATTGCGTAAGTTTTTACGGCACTGAACGTGGCAGACCCGAGAATCTGTGGAGAGCTGAAGTTTTGATTTCCACTTTTTGTTACAACGTTAGAGAAATCCAGATTATTGATCTTACCGTTGACGTCTAGACCACCGGCAGTAACCGTCTTGCTGAAAGTCAGTCTCCCTCTCACCACCTGCCCCTCCTTGTCTAGGTAAAAGGCAGAGGCGGCTAAATGGTCCACGTCAACACCATCTACACTACCAGTCACGGTCAGAGATTCAAAATAAACGTCATTTTTCAACACAACTTCTCCAGAGAAGATGTAGACCCCAGTAGTAGTTACCAAGTCGTCGAATTTTTCTCCATTAAAGGTATTTATGAAGGTAGCATCAGAAACGGTGAGTTCGCTGGCGAAGTATTTTCTTCCAGACATCAACACCACAGAACTTTCATCCATATAGATAATATCAGCAGCAAGATGTGCAAAGTCGATTCCATTTACCTTCCCGCGGCATTGGAGGGAAGGTGCCAGTACCGGTTTTTTAAACTCTACATTAAATTTCCAAGCGGTTAATTCAGAGAGCGATAAACCCTTCGTCAACAAGTCTAGGTTCACTCCGTCAATTATGGATGTAGCGATATCCAAGTTGCCCTTTATGTCAATACCGTGAGTAAATATCTTTCTGCCAGTGAGGTGTTGTTTCGTGTTTAGGGTCACCATTCTGGAGATATCCAGACCATCAACAGTACCTCCGGCATCCACCATCACAGATCCGAACTGCACCTTCGAAAATCTCTTTGGTCCAAAGTTGAGGGTCGTGTCTGTACGGACGGGAAAGTGTGCAGGGAAACTCTCGCCGTTGATGTCGCCAGTCACCGTCAGATCCCCATTGATGTGTACAGGGGAAGGCACTGTCAACTTCCCATTCATTTTTACACCACGATTTTTAAACACAGTTGTAGCCATGAAGTCCTCGACGTTTACCCCCATCATCTCCGTGGCTTTGAGGCTCCCGACTGTCACTTTACTGAGGAAGTAAAGTGAACCCAACACTGTCCCACCGCTGACCCGTAATGTGTTCCTGTACAGACGATCCAGATCAACCCCACTCGCCATATTTGTCATTACTTGCACACGGTCCCCCGTTAAACCTTTCGTGAAGGTCGCATGGCCTGAAAAGAAGAAATATTGAATATCGGAACTTTCTAAAACCCGTTCTATTATCTAAAATTGAACGAATTAAAAAAAAGGAAGAGCTACCGACGCACCGAGCACAATATCGTCAGACAAAAGCATCACGTCCTCGGAAAAGTCTATCCCGGCCACAGTGCTGCCATCTGTCATCACAATGCTGTAGGCCACCAGTGTTGAGAAGGTGGCACCTGCTATATTCTGGTAGCCCGTTGTAGTCACTAGATCATTTACAGGCACATCGTCCAGGTAAGGGGTGTCGAGCGTGTTTACCAGCAGGGCGTTGAAGGTCTTCCGGCCAGTTATTTTGCGGAGGTCAATGCGTCTGTATCAAAGAAGAAATAAAATACTAATACGTCTAGTTGTGTCGACTAATAACATTGGCGAAGCAACATTTAAGAAGGACTACTTTTACTGTTCAAGGGCGGATCCAGGGGTGTCCTGAGGGTCCGGACCCCCCCCTTTTCACAAGAAAATTCCAATACTTTTTATTTAATGCAGTAGACTTGTACTCAACGTATTTGTATAGTAAATTATAATTACTATGGACTTCAGAAGATCTCCTATAAAGTGCACAGTGTTTTTAAAAAGGCCCCAAAATGCCCAGAACATTGGTCAGATTTAAACAAAAAATCGGGGACTTACAGCCCCCCCCCCCTCCAAAAAAAAAAGCTGGGTGGGTTCGCTGTGCCCGCCATGCCCCCTCCCCACCTACAAAGTCTTTGACCTCTTGATATTCCTGGATCCGACCCTGCTGTTCTACAGACATCCAAACGTACTTAACAACACTATTGATATTTTTCTCTAGATGAACCGAGGCACCGGAGCCATCCAGGGAATGGTCAACATCGAGGCTATACACAGTGAGGGTGTCTAGGTGTAGTCCGGCGGCACGCACAGTCTTCACACCACCGACCACACGCGACGATCCCTGGGCCGGCACAGCGTCTGTACAGGCGACAACACTAATGGGAATTCAATGATATTAGGGTCATGGTCACAGTATTGCTTATATTTTATGAACGACAACACTTCATATTACACTCAATCGTCCATAAAAACAAGCGGTTTTCGCGAGTTATCCATAAGCACGATCTCTCCCGACCAGATCAAAGAAAACGAAAATGACGTCATAATTTGTGCTGCAAGTTATTGAATGTGGAGATTGGAATATTGAATTATTCACAAAAATATGTAGCAGTATATGTTAGCATATAACGGAGGTATTCAAGGCTATTTGAGATTATGTTGAACGCTTGAATTTTCTAACTAATCCTTAAATGAACAGATCTGAGCCAATGAACAAGGTCCAGTTTTTCAGTGGGAAATTTATTACGGTAGTTTTTTATAGTAGTTGAGCATTGACACATTTGTCAAGATCCATGAAATAAAACTTAGTTTACCAAGGAAGTTTTGTTAACTACTAAATGCATTCACAGAGGTTTGTTGGGTCAAGAGGTCACGGGCCATACATGTCACCAGTCGAGGATGTTACTCGTTTCCTTGCTCTGGTTCGTCTCAACTATACCATAAGCAGTATAGAGAGTCTTAAATCTCCACACACTGATTCACCATGTTGGTTACCACACAGATGCAACGGTTACAGTTCAAAACCCAGTTATCACTAAATAGATCAACGTGTCCCAGTCTGAAACGCGAGACACCAAGCTAGAGTCCACTAACTCGGGGTACACGGTCGAGTACATGTGGGTTTCAGTACACAACCAAAACGTCCAAGTCCCCTAAAAATCCATTAATGACTTCAGTCATTGTTCCAGGGTCACCTATTGAAAGGTTTCAAAATTATGCTTCAACGAACTGACTGACTGACTGACTGACTGACTGACCATCCAGGGTGGAGGCGATTGTGATAAGCATCGTGTGTAGCTGATACAGCATGTCGCTGTAGTGTGCCAGGGCCCTTAACTGATCCCTGTAGGTGGTGTAGCTGGCACCATCCAGCTCCGTGCCACGCAGACCCATACTTGATGCTTCCAGACCTGACGTATTGAATGCCTGAGAAATTAAAAAGAAATTGTTAGAAAAAAGTATGTTGCGCAAAGACTTTGTGCAACTATTATTGAAGTTTGATATGACGTCCAAAAAGTTCAATAGTACAGATGTGATTACGAACCCCCGAGACGTCCACACCATGTAGGAGAGTAAGGGAGCCTGTGATGATGACAGGTCCAGAGCCCTGGCCGCCACCCTCGCCACAGTCCAGGCTGTCTGCCAGTTTCCCTGCCGCTGCCTCCACCTCCTTCGCCTGCCGTGCATATTCCTCCTGAAGCAGCCAGCAAAAGGTTTTCTTAAATATTCATTCTATTGTGGTGTAAAATATGCTGAATCACAACAAATCCGGGGTCCATGAAAACTCCTGTGTTGCACACCTAACATGGCATTACAATATATTTATACAGTGTGGGGACTAGTGGAGAAGGAAACGATAAGAATAAAGGAGGCACACTAAATGTTGGGACGATAATGTAAAGATACAGCGTTATCCTTCCCAGATTTAGGAATAACCGCACTATTGCCACTTTCCACCCAGATAAGAGTACACCTTCTGTTATAGTCTGTTGGAGCATTATCAAGTCCGATGGTTTGAATTTCACAGATGGTGCATGCGAGAGGGAGGACTGGAGGCCTACCTGGAGACTGGTCATCGTGTCGTGAAGGAGACGGTTCTGCATCAAGATGGGATCTTTGAGAGGCACGAGAGTCGCTTGCACACTCAAGGTCGTTACTCCATTAGTGCCATGTACCACAACCTGGAATGATTGTCCAAGTTATGGTACCTTCTCGTGAACACTCCACTCCCACTATACCAGGGGTTCTCAACCAGGGGGGGAATTCCCCCCCAGGGGGGGGGAATTCAGGTTTTCAGGGGGGGGGGAAACTGATTCGGGAGCAAGAGATATGTTCGATGAGAAATCAATCACAGAATTTTGGCCCTTGATGTGCGATTCCTACCCAAAAGTGGCAGAAAGAGCTATCCGTGCATTGCTTCCGTTTGTGTCGACATATCTTTGTGAGTCAGGCTTTTCAACTCGGTTGCAAATTAAATCGAAGCAACGTAGTAGATTAGAGGTAGAAAATGACCTGCGTTGTGCCCTTTCAAGCACTCCTCTGCGTATCCCAGAATTGGCGAAGTAAAAAAATCACAGGTTTCTCATTGACTAATCTTCATCTGAATAAAATTAATTACAAATTTACAATATCCTGGTATTCTATTGAACTTTTTGTTTATTGCATTATGCTTCAGTTTGGTCTGTTAAGTAATTCATTATAAATATAAAAAACTATTTTCTTTTATTCAAGTTTTATAAATCCATCAACATTTTCAATTGGCATTTAATTTGTAAAACTCCACTATAAAAATAATCCATGTAAAATTGTCAATGTATATGTACTAATATGGAAAAAAAAGGATTTTCAGTATTATATGCATATTATTTGGAATGCACTTTTTGAGGCAGACAATCTTGGAAAAGAGGGGGGAATGACATCTGACATATGGTGAAAAGGGTGCATGGGGCAAACAAGGTTGAGAACCACTGCACTATACTATACTATTCCGTACCACTCCCACTATACTATACCATTCTATTTCTATCCCATTCTATCCCATCCCATTCCACTCGCACTATACTATTCTATTCTATTCTATTCTACTCCCGTCCCGTCCATTCTATTTTCCATTCTACTCGTCTTCCGTACACTCGAATATTAGCTTTGTGTGGAATCAATTATTCACACTTCCCTCACCTGTGCTGATTGGTCACCTGTGCCCAGGTCGACGTAGCCGATCTCCCAGTTGACGACGCTAATATCCAGCGTGGTGGTGTAGATCTAAAATTATATAGAGACAAATCAGTTAAATGGAGGTTTCACTAGTTCAATGTCGTCAAGTCACTACATAGATCAAATTAAAAAAATAGTTAATGAAGTTTTTCTGTCTAGTAAATGTCCTAATTTGTCTTCATACTTAAGAGCCAACATAACTTACCACCTGCGCCGCCCGAGCCGTCCCATTCCATGCCAACACGATCAGGTTCTTCTCGTGGCCAGTCAGCAGAACGACCTCGTTCCTACACGTCGGTACCTACATAAGCCATGATTGTTTATAAAATTAATGTTTACAATAGTTGTCTTATTACACGATGACAACGTTAGAGGTACAGTCGCCCACTAAAGTCCTGTCGCCTCTCCTGAACCACGAACACTCAAATCCGGAGCATTTATGGACAAAATTGCACGTATCTACTACTTCGGGTTTTAAGACTGACGCCCGTAATATTAAACAACATCTTCCCTTGAAGGGGGGTCGTCGTATTTCAACCAATTTTAAACTAAACGAGTCCCCGGGGGACACCGCAGTACAGTACTTAACGGGGTGGTATGGCGGTAAAATTAACTAATTCCCATATTATAAATTAATTTTATTGGAATTAGTTAATTTTACCGCCACAGCACGAATAATTGAAGTCAACCTCATGATAGCCCTGAGGCTTCTGCGTGGTGATCCTGATAACATTGTTTCCTTAAAATTGCTAGAATGTATGAACCATGGGACTAAGGAGTCTAAATGGATCCAAACTACAGCTACACATATGAAGAAGTTTGGACTGGACCACCTGTACAAAGTTGAGACAACAGCGCTTCCTGCCACCCCTGGCGGACAGTTCCCTTCGATATCACAATACTGACGTATCCACCTAAAAAATTAATTATACAAAGCATTTATCTCCAACACTGCCAAATTGAGAGCTCTTGAACACATACACACTCTCCAGACTGATATCACACAGACCATCTACACTGATGGATCTCTAAACACCGCCTGTGGGAGGGCTGGAAGTGCTATTGTTGTGACTCAACCTGACGGTAATATAATTGAGAAAGGAGTTAGAATTAACAACTGGGCATCCACTCTACAAACTGAATTAGTTGCCATACTCACAGCTATTAAATTCATTGAAACCACTGTTACTGACAGGCTCATCATCACTGACTATCATCACTACTTGCCCTTGGTACCCTCGACTCGGGTTGTCACGCTCTTGTCTCTGAAGCCAGACACAAATATGCGTGCCTTGTTGACCGGGGTGTCAGGGTCAAACTGTTGTGGATCCCCTCTCACATAGGCCTCATAAAACATGACAGTTGATGCCCTCGCCAAACTCGCGTCTAACAAAGACACCGTTGAATACAATTTGGGTCTGACAAAAAGAACCCTTAAAACAGTAATTAGGAAAGAACTTATTGATGAGTTTGACGCAAGTAGACAAGTGCAAACAGGCACTAGTCGATCCATAGGTTACCATGATGAGATGTATCAAGTGAAACATGTATATGGAGCAAGTAACAAGATCACTAGATAACAAGATGTTGTAACCGCTAGATTAAGGTTAGGATACAAGTACCTTTGGCAGTATGTTCCTCAAGCAGATGTAAACAAAACTAAATGTAATGTGTGTGGCCATACATATGGCCACACACTTGAACACTACGTCCTCGACTGTGTGAAGATAGAACCTTTCAGGGACGGGTCCAAGCACACTGTGTGAAATGTCACAACACTTCATCTCTAATGGCAAGATAGCCGACATATTAAGATTGTATCCACTTTTTTGCACCTAGTAACTATCAATTCTCATGTACAGAACCAAATACGCAATGTGCTTGAATACCTCCCACGTAAATGTGAATAAAGTGCGAGGCCAGACATACTGCCTCACACGCCTGTACCCACGCATTTGTGAATAAGTTACCCTTTATGTATAGAACTAAACAAATAATGCAAATGAAATACGGTGTAACATTCAGTGCCATAATATCCTGACAAAGGCGGTTAATTATTATGACCCTTTGTAAACCCTACTCTAATCCTTTTGCGCTACCGCTCACAGGACGAGTGTGGGGTGCACAATAAAGTAGCCGCTGCAAGCGGCAAAATCAAATCCGTTAAGTACTGTACTGTCCCTCAGGACTCCTTTAGTTGAAAACTCGGGTTGAAACACGACGACCCTCTTCAAGGGAATGTGGGTTAATAATACGGGCATGAATCTCTGGGTTTGCGGAACAGCAGGAGACAGGTTTTGAGCGGAATTGTACAACTTCACATTTTGTGTTAAATGTTCATCTCACCCGGACAGGCAAAAAGGCTTGAAAGTACGGGAGGCCATGAGACGGGTAAAACTCCTGGATGGTCTCGTACTGGACGCCGGAGAGAACGTAGATTCTGGAGAGTGAGTGAGTCACCACCAGCAGGACGTGCTCCAGCCCCCAGACGAAGGTAGTAAACGACTTTATCTCCTCAACACACACCACCGTCTGCACCAGCCCCATGTGGAACTCTTGCCACGCGTCCTCCTGCTCACGGAACATGTACAAAAAAAAAAAAAAAAAAGATAAACTGGAGTAACAGGTAAAATTTTTCAATAGATCTTAAAATTTATCCTTCAAAAAAAGAATTACCTCCCATCTTAAAAAATGCCAATCCTTGATCTTGATCAAAAGTGGAATTTTGATCTAGAGGCTAAGCGATCTAGCATCCACCTCCGTTGTGACATTCTTAAGTTATTTGTTCAGTGTTATTCGCTTTGATATTGATATTGTGCCAGTGATGGATGGGATCTATTTTTTGGAAATGTGAACTGGTTGCCGATTGATCAAGTTTCAAACAAGAAATAATCAAACGGAACGAAAGTAGAATTATTTAGACCTGGAGACTAAAGGGAAACATTTAGGGGAGGAGGACTGACCGACAGAGAAGGGGAATAATAGGAAGAGCGGGATCGCTCACCTTCAGTTCATACAATAGGAGGTTGGCGTGTTTGAGTACGCCTACCATTAGGCGTCCGGTTACCTCCCAGGTCTTCATGGCGCTGCCGGAGCTCTCCCAAGGCATTGTCAGGCTGCAACACCACAAACGCACATTGCAACAAACCTGCCTCCCCCTATATATACCCACCACCCTGTATATACCAACCTTAATGCACCGCATGCCAAGAAACATCTCAACAGTCACCTACCCGACAGATAAAGTGTTCTCTTTTGTGTTGACCGTAACTTCGCGGTACTCGTGCACTTCTTCACCAGCGTAGAAGATCACTAGGAACCGCCGCTTTCTGAAGCTGCCGTAGAAACTGACGAACAACTCTCCATACCCCAGGTGGGTTACTCTCTTGTTGGTACCTACCGTCTTGATTAGCTGCAACCCCTCCGCGTCCTGTGGAGAGAGAGAGACTGGGGATGAGAAACAGTAAAGCAGTCAAACTATGGCAGCAGTCGAGTCTACCCTAAACTTTTTCTGTCCTCAGTAGCTACAATTTTTGCCAGTTTTATACTCACGATTTTAAAGAATGATATGGTGTTGCCTTTAGCAGATACGAGCACTTGCTGGAGCCCCCCCGTCTCTGCCACGTCGTCCAAGTGGTACTGCAACCCTACTGCAGCATCCAGTTCCAGAGGACGCCAGTCTGTTATGGGCAGTAGTAGTCAAGTTTACAACACATCACATTGTATTAGTTTACGCCAGTCTTACAAGGGGCAAGATAAAAGCAATTAATATGGTTTCAAGGTCAGAAAATGTCGAGTATTAAAAAGATAACTGCCACATCCACAAACTCTTTAAAGCTACTCTAAACTAGCTAAAAAAATTGTGAACTCTGCATCAATATCCTAATTTAAAACTATACATAAAAAATTAAGGTTTTTCGCGAGTCCTTACTGGCAGCTTGGCAAGCGGAAACCGAGGACTCCAGGCCACACTCAACACACGTGTCCCCAGAGTGACCGTCAGCTTGTTTACACAGACACCCGCCAGGGGCGCAGCAGGCACAATTCTGACAAACAAAGCAGTATTAGGTAAACCATGTACGAGATATTCAAGCAGATTTTATTGAAGTCAAGTGTTGCCAGAGGTCATTTTATGGTAAGGCTCTTCCTTTTACCACTGGCTTAGTTCATCAACTGTTGTTCAAACGTGTGATGCTTAAAGTTTTAGCCATAAAAGTCATTACAGAAAATCTAAACACAAGTGACAACATTTACGGTTTACATTTTAGTAACCGATGTCCTAAGCAATTAACCTCACCAGGTGATGGGTAGGATACCCGATTAGCAGATTACACATTGACGGCCGTTACTTTTTTGCAATAAACTTTTGGTCAACCTTGGTCGGGTTAGGTCTATCGAGGTCAAAGGAACAAAGTCAAGTCTAATGTAACAAACTGGAGAAAAGTGAACAGTTGATGGACGTGATGTGTGGCCTTGTACGGACCACGGTTGTACAGTAGCTAAAACACTACCTGTACATACTTTGTGGAGAAACATTACAAGACCATGGACAATAAATTTTGGAATGCGAGGGCTGTAACTAGTCACGTAAAATTTCGGAGCATACAGACCCCCACCTGCACAGATAGTGGTTTTAGCTACTGTACATGCTAACGTAAAATCAGACGATTGATATTACGCTCAATAGCTCACAAAAACATGTAGCTATAACTTCATTATCGAGTCCCCCAGTGGAGACATCCGTTTCTCACCACTTACGTACACCCGAGTCTCCGGTTTTCTCCTGTACCTCACTGATATTTCTTAATGCCTCATTTTGTGTTCAGAGATTTTAAATTGAAAACCTATGTTTTGCATTAAATTAGATACGTCTACTTACAGATAAAACGTTCAAGACCACTTGTAAGTGAAATTGAAAGCTTCAACTATATTTACTTTCAATAGAATTGTCAAATAAAGTCAGTGTAGAGTTTGCGAGTAGAAGTGACGTATCATAACATCGTCCTTGGGGACGCCGCTAGTATCCAACTGCTACTGAAATAAGATAATTTTGTTTCCCAAGCACCAGAGACTGAGGTTTGTATTGAAATTATTGTTAGTTTTGTATTTTAGAAAGTAATTAATCTCCTGAAAGTATGTCGGTTTTATCTCCAAAATCTAACGGCGAAGGCTCAGTCACTGTTAAAAGCTCCGCCCACAATGTACTGCATTACGAGTACTTTACTGTAATTCTTGACTTTAGAAGCTCAGGCAAGGATTAGTTTTGAAAAGTTAATCTTAGAAAATTAATACAAGCTCACAGCCTGATTTTTATTAGCCATTGTACAGCAATTGATGGAAATGAATATTTATGTAAAGGCGCCACCTCGTACGTGCCCGAGAGCCAGTTAGCCTAGTATATAACCGTGGGCGAGGGAGAGTCACTTTTTTTTATGCTCTCTTCGTAACACAAGTATGTAACGAGTGCGGTGAGAAGGAAGGATTCGGTACGGGGGAAGGATGCGGTGTCACTGATCCATGTACAGTAGGATGTAAAAATTAGTTATTTGAACAAGAATTATTAATGTAATATATGAAATCTAGCATATAAACTGCATTAGCCAATGAAAATTAAGGAAATCTCTTCACCCCCCCCCCCTCCACTAGCGCCATAGCTGGACGCAGGGTATAATTTTTTTTCTCAAGATGGGAGTACAAACAAAAACTCTTAACCAATATAACGTAATACTAATCAAAAACCATGAGAATTAAATTTTATAGATATTTAAGGTTTGTTTGGTCATATTTGGAATTAATATGCTATATTTAGTGAAGTTTAGTCTTGGTTTCTGTTCAGAATAAAACCACCTTGTGGTGCCATCTAGAGTCGTGTTGGCCGCCTCGACTAGGGAAATTTTATGTCAAAAAGGGAAATTTTGAGGGCGCTGCTAGGGTAATTTGGCAGAGTAGACCTGGCAACAATGCTAATTGCACACTCCATTTGTTGCAGTATACAATAGTGAAGGAGCCTGGTATACTAATCTCAATCATGTGCAAAGTAACTTTTTTTTTTTTCATTATTATGGATTATTAGCAGAAACATAATTGTCCCAGGTTGAGTATTGAAACCAGTAGAGTTACATAAATTGTGAGTGAACCATCAACGTGTACTCCCAACTGAGATCTGGTACAAGTTCCACGTTGTTCATTCAGAAATAAAAATATAATTAATGTAATAATATCTGTGCCATTAGCAAGTGAGTAAAATGACGATCTTAGTTAAAGTAGTAATATAATACCCTTGAGGTATTAAATGTTAATCGAAGATCTATTTTGTTACTTGTCGATTAAGACATAGTTGTCAGTTTTTGTCAGTGTTACAGTAAAGTAATCCTTGATTGAACTTTTTTTTGTGGATAAAAGTTCAAATTGTCATCTTCACATTTAATCTAAATAAATATTGATTTGGTATATCGTGAGTGACATCCCTCCTTCCCTTCTAACAATTGCTCAGAAAAGAAACAACCCACGTGCCAAAAGCGCATTACCTAACAGTTATAAGATGTTATATTCCAATAAAAGCTTATGTGGTGGCAGTCTACCGTGTTAAGTATAATAATTAAACCAAAAGATGTTAAAGAATGATGGTTTTCCCAGATTAATTTATTGAATAGTATAGAACTAATCACAGCCGAGTAGAAAATGAAATATACACAAGCTCTGATAAATACTGAAAGGAAAATTTAAACAATAAAATTGAAAGAATAATATATGGATATAGAAAAGAAAGGTAAAGATCATTGAAATACCTAACTAAATAAAAACATTAAAAGAAAATTAGAAAATAACTTAGAAAAGAATTAGCAAGTAAAACGGAAAACAAGATATAATTAAGAAAATTAAAAAAGGTTATACGAGACAAATAACTTGGAACCATAACCAGAGAAATTAAAGAAAGTGATGGTTATACTAACAGAAAAGACAACAAAATTTAAAAAAAACTCCTCTTACGCACATGTATTAATAAGAATGAAAAAGTTAAATATAACTTATTTATTCTGCCCTCCCTCACAGCCTCGCCAAGTGAACACGGAATTAATGAACGTGGTGTAGTCTCACCTTCGAGTTGTCCAGGTCACATAGGCATCCCGTCAACGTCGCCGTCCAAGGACTGCGTACCTTCACCGTCTCCATCTGACCCCGCTGTAGTAACACTCCCCAGCCTACGTCACTCTGAGAATTAAAATATGAATAAAAACTACTTTACACCCGTCTCCAGTCCCTGCTAACACAATATAAAGTAACGTTTCAAAAGGAATTTACACGTCTATAAAGCACATAGCAAGTCGGTAGGAGTGCCTTCATTAACTCTCACCGTTGAACTATGCAAGGTACCTCTTAAGATAAAGTTTCACAAAAAACCATAACGGATTTTTTTCGGTGAGGGGGCTTAAATCTACAGTTTGTGTTGACTTACGAATGTCAATGGCATTTTGTATTCTGAATTCAGTTAAAAAAAAAATTTTTTTAGCCCACCCGGGCACAAGTCACTGACCCCACATCAGGGCCTGGTAGCAACACATGAAGGATACCTTGAGTTGCATCATACCCCGTATCGAGTCTCCAAGTGAGTGCTTCAACTATCAGTAAACTACGTCATGTTCCGCTATATTTGCCAGTTACGTTTTGCAACTCAATTCGGATTACAAAATACCATTATTAACCTTTGTACGTCAACACTAACTGAAAAAAACCTGTCAACTTGAGCAGAAAAGTTTTGTATTTAGACCCTATTAGAGAAAAGTTCAGAAAATGGTCTACAAATTACGATTCTCAAAGTCAAGACCTCCCTGGTCCATGTAGGAAGCAGGAGGTACACTGACCCGGCAAATGGCGGGAAACTGGTGCAGGTTGAGATGAAAGACGTGGGTGATGTCGAGAGACCCCAGGCTGCTCCTCACGTTCACAGACTTCACCTCCACCACTGCCACGAGGGGGAAACAGTTTAGTGCAAGTTCTCTAACAAATCTCAAGCATCTGACTTTATTCGTTGTCGACCGTTCAGAAATTTGACTAACGGTCTACGAAGATATTCGTACAATTTAAGGTAATAAATCCTTAATTTTTAATAAATCTTAGCTTAGGAACGGTGCCGATAGATAAGTGTTAAAATTATTAAACTAGGTGTACAGGTACAGGCTATACTGTACCTTGACTGACCTCAGAAACCAATTCTCCAGATTAAATCACTTTTGGGCTACACGCGATTGTTCCAGATGAACATTGTGACATACGACCATTTTTTGCCATTTAGGAATATTTGAAGATACAAAACTCCTAGACGGGACGAATTTACAATTCGAACATTATTTACTTGGTGTAGGAGTAATAGTCCCTCACTACACGAAGTTAACGAGCTTTTGGACAGTTGTCGAGGAATAATGCAAGACAGGACAGCTCGTCAACTGCAATGGCTATCATAATCCTAGAACAAAATCGGCGGTCAAATTTTACTTATGCTCCGGTCTGTTTGGATATCAAAAGTAAGTTTTTCCGATGTTATTGGAGGAGATTCGAACGAATTTAACATTCATTTCATCCGGAAATCTATAGTTTTTGAGGTACCACCACCCCCCCACCCCAGCATTATGATATGCCTTGCTCAAGGATTTGTGGACAGTTACGAACCTAAATATGATTGTCTCAACGGAGGTTATGGGTAGAATATCAGATAACAGTACGTACATTATATAACAGGTTATATAAGAGTGCCAGGTTACTCACTTTCCCTCTCGTTAATGGTATTGAAAGTGTAAGAGTGCCAGTAGTCAGGTACCAGGGTAGGTATGGCAAGGTAGTCATCGGGTGCCAGGGTAGGTAGGGTCGGTTGGTAGTAGTACTCGTGGCTGGGCTCCACAAAGTTCTTGCGTCGTTGTCTGCTCAGCGTTTGGAGGGTTTTCTCGTGTTGTCCAAGGTGGATTTCATATCTGTGGTCTATGTATGTCTGTAGAGCCTCCAGTCGTGACCGAAATTCTTTGTCGAGCTGTGGGTTAGAAAAGACGCCAAATATTAACTCCTGAAATTCTTTCAGAAATGCGGCCATTTTGTGACACGCGGTATAAGAAAACTAGTTAAAGTAATCCAGAATATTGCCAAACACACAAACTATACAGTGTGGCTCCCTTAAACACCTACATAAAACACTAAAGTTACCAACCTCCTCTGTGCCGAGACTATCGATAAGAATTTGAGAGGTGTCCAGGTCGTTATAAGTTAAAGCTGTTGCTGCTGCTGCTGCCACCCACACCACCACCCACACCAACATCATCCTCACACACTGTAAAAAAAATACAAAAATGCACAAATAACAAAGAAATAACTACAATGCCAGAAATATATCCAGTTGTTTAAGAGAGAGCGAAAAAAAGGATCCAGTTCATCACCTTTTATCGCTTCTTTGTTTAACAGTTCGGTCTTGTAATATTGTAGTGTAACAGTTCACCTGACTGGTCACACCTTACACTACTGAACGAACGATCACTATTGCACACCAAGTCACCTCACCTCTCTACCAACCTAGGAATTGGAGAAGAGATAAACAAATGAACTGGGTTTTTCACATGAGTTGCCATGTATGTCTTATTGTCAACGTCTTTAAGGCTCTCTGGCGGTGATGTATTAACCAATATCATTAGAGAAAACGGGCCTTAGAATTTCAGTGTTGTTTCGAAGTCATTCTATTGTCTTAACTTATGTCTCGTAGCTGAAGTAAGACGGAAAGATTCTTGTATTATAATTCCGGTGAAAAATTTTATGTACGAAACTATAGAGGATCCAGACCCGGCAACTGATGTTCCAGGAAAAAATACTGAAGCTCTTGTTGTATGTCCTCGATAATCTCAACACCATTATCGAGAATCCTTGGTTGTCAGAGGCTAAAGAGACATAGTGATGTGTTACAGTGAAACTTTCATATAGCGGACTTCTCTCTCCATATAATCCGTTAGATGGGGTTTCACGTTTAATGGAAATTTGATATAACGGACTTTCATCTCTCTATTGTCCATTAAGTAGAGGTATCACTGTATATTCTAACGTATAATAACTTTAGGGTGACGGGGGAGCTTAAAGATTGATGATAACATAAGAGTCTACATCTTCAAGTTGTACTCGAGTGTGCACTGTGAATGTTACTTTCAGTTTTAGTGAACGTTGATCAATTTTATTTTTCTCGCACTGAACCTTGCGTGCATCTGTTGGCACGATGCCGTGAGCTTAGGCATCCTCACTGCTGATTCACCCACTAAGCAAGTGTAGCTGTGTACCGTACTGTACCGTACATATGGTGGAACATACCGAAGCTGTGGATGTATACACTGATGGACGATACTACCGCCACCAGCGGCGTGCGCAAGAACTATTAGGTTACTAGTTAATATTTTGGTGACAGCGGTTATGGGTCAAGGCTGGTGCTCTGGCTGGTATTTGATGTAAGTGTTAAATGGTCGTTTGACCATTTGGAGCGAGTTTATCCATAAAATGCTGCATAAACACCTTCTCGGGTGGTGCTCCTCAAAACCTTTGTATTAAAACTATCCTTATACCTTTTCACATAAACAAAGACCTTGGCGCCTACAAACACACACGCACACACACATATAGGGTCTTGACACACACACACACACATAGACATTATACACATAAATCTACACATACACTATATAAATGCATACATTATACACAAACACTACATACAGTACACACAAATACACATGCCCTATGTACATATTGTACATACATACACGCATACATGAACTATATACATACAATATATGCACACATACACTAAATACACACATATGATTTATATATAAATACATATACACACTGTATACGCATATACACTATTACATATATACGATACATACACAAATACACACACATGCACTTTATACACACATACACAATATACACATACAATCATACACTACATAACTATGTACATACATACACAATATACACACATACAATCATGCACAATATACCAGGGAAAAATTCAGGGATATCAAAGGGGAATCCAAGACGTTGTGGGTGGTGGACTGGACCATGGAGTACAGCGAGTCCACCCAGCTGAAAATTATTATTTATTTATTTATTTATTTATTTATTGTGGGGGGGGGGCACTGTAAGCTCTCTCGCAAATTTTTGTAAATCTGACCAATAATATGGGAATTTTGAGGCCATTTTGAAGCAATGCACACTTGATATTTGGAGATATTCTGAGGTCAATAGTAATTGCTTTTTACTATACAAAAAAACAGAGTACAACACTGCATTAATGAAAAGGCATTGGTATTTTCTGATGAAAAGAAGGGGGTCCGGACCCCCAGACACCCTGGATCAGCCTTTGTATACACTATATACACATATACACGTCCTTCACGCTGCCTGGGGCCCCCATCTCTCTCTGTACCTACGCTGTTATTAGCGACCTGTACCACTCACTCCCGAGGCCTTATGGTGATCGTCTAATGTATGATGTGGAGGATCAACTGGTGTTGTAGTTGTTATTATGGATCAGCTGGAGTTGTAGTTGTTATGGATTAGCTGGTGTTGTAGTTGTTATGGATCAGCTGGTGTTGTAGTTGTCATGGATAAGTACTGTTGGTGTTGTAGTTGTTATGGATCAGCTGGTGTTGTAGTTGTTACAGATCAGCTGGTGTTGTAGTTGTTATGGATCAGTACTGTTGGTGTTGTTATGGATTCGCTGGTGTTATAGTTGTTATTATGGATCAGCTGGTGTTGTAGTTGTTATGGATCAGTACTGTTGGTGTTGTTATGGATTAGCTGGTGTTATAGTTGTTATGGATGAACAGGTGTTCTGGTTGTTATGGATCAGCTGGTGTTGTATTGTTATGGATCAGTAATGTTGGTGTTATTTGTTATGGATCAGTAATTGTTATGGATCAGCTGGTGTTGTTATGGATCAGCTGGTGTTGTAGTTGTTATGGATCAGTAATGTTGGTGTTATAGTTGTTATGGATCAGCTCGTGTTGTATTGTTATGGATCAGTAATGTTGGTGTTGTAGTTGTTATGGATCAGTAATGTTGGTGTTATAGTTGTTATGGATCAGCTCGTGTTGTAGTTGTTATGGATCAACGGGTGTTGTAGTTGTTATGGATCAGCTGGTGTTGTAGTTGTTATGGATCAACTGGTGTTGTAGTTGTTATGGATCAGTACTGTTGGTGTTGTAGTTGTTATGGATCAGCTGGTGTTGTAGTTCAGATTCAGATTTGCCCCCGAGGGGGCTAGTTTATTGGGCACCCCCTTACATCCTGTGTAAGGTGAAGCGCAGAAGCGTTTACAGCGCCCAACAGGGAAGTATGAAAAGTTCATACTTGCCTTTATGACTCGTACATTAAGGGCGTAAAAGCCTGAAGGGTCAGAGGTTCTGTCATGTTACGTAAAGCGAGAGAATGATGAGTGTGTAGGGGGAAAGTTCCCGGTACATTTTATCTGTTTATGGCAAAGAGTGGCAGGTCCCTAATAATGTCAAATGCCAGGCCTGTGACTAGGAGGGATATCTGGTCAGGGAGGGAAGAGGTGTTGGTAACGGCTGGGGACCTATAGGAGGAGGTCATAGGGCAAGTGAGGATGTAGTGAGAGAGGGTGTGAGAATCGGGTTGGCCACAAAGTTTACAAACAGTGCGGTGAGGCTCAGGGTTGCCAATGTACTCCCATAGGTACCTGTACCCTAGGCGCAGTCTCATGTATATAAGCTGTTGGTGTTGTAGTTGTTATGGATCAGCTGGTATTGTAGTTGTTATGGATCAGCTGGTGTTGTAGTTGTTATGGAGCAGTACTGTTGGTGTTACAGTTATTATGGATCAGCTGGTGTTGTAGTTGTTATGGATCAGCTGGTGTTGTAGTTGTTATGGATCAGTACTGTTGGTGTTGCAGTTATTATGGATCAGCTGGTGTTGTAGTTGTTATGGATCAGCTGGTGTTGTAGTTGTTATGGATCAGCTGGTGTTGTAGTTGTTATGGATCAGTAATGTTAGTGTTATAGTTATTATGGATCAGCTCGTGTTGTAGTTGTTATGGATCAGCTGGTGTTGTAGTTCTTATGGATCAATACTGTTGGTGTTGTAGTTGTCATGGATCAGTACTGCTGTTGTTGCAGTTGTTATGGATCAGCTGGTGTTGTAGTTCTTATGGATCAATACTGTTGGTGTTGTAGTTGTCATGGATCAGTACTGCTGTTGTTGTAGTTGTTATGGATCAGCTGGTGTTGTAGTTGTTATGGATCAATACTGTTGGTGTTTTAGTTGTCATGGATCAGCACTGTTGGTGTTGTAGTTGTTATGGATCAACTGGTGTTGTAGTTGTTATGGATCAATACTGTTGGTGTTTTAGTTGTCATGGATCAGTACTGTTGGTGTTGTTGTTGTTATGGATCAGCTGGTGTTGTAGTTGTCATGGAACAGTGCTGCTGTTGTTGTAGTTGTTATGGATCAGTACTGTTGGTGTTGTAGTTGTTATGGATCAGCTGGTGTTGTAGTTGTTATGGATCAATACTGTTGGTGTTTTAGTTGCCATGGATCAGTTCTGTTGGTGTTGTAGTTGTTATGGATCAATACTGTTGGTGTTGTTGTTGTTATGAATCAGCTGGTGTTGTAGTTGTTATGGATCAGTACTGTTGGTGTTGTAGTTGTTATGGATCAATACTGTTGGTGTTGTTGTTATGGATCAGCTGGTGTTGTAGTTGTTATGGATTAGTACTGTTGGTGTTGTAGTTGTTATGGATCAGTACTGTTGGTGTTGTTGTTGTTATGGATCAGCTGGTGTTGTAGTTGTTATGGATCAGCTGGTGTTGTAGTTGTTATGGATCAGCTGGTGTTGTAGTTGTTATGGATCAGCTGGTGTTGTGGTTGTTTTGGATCAATACTGTTGGTGTTGTTGTTGTTATGGATCAGCTGGTGTTGTAGTTGTTATGGATCAGTACTGTTGGTGTTGTAGTTGTTATGGATCAGTACTGTTGGTGTTGTTGTTATGGATCAGCTGGTGTTGTTGTAGTTGTTATGGATCAATACTGTTGGTGTTGTTGTTGTTATGGATCAGCTGGTGTTGTAGTTGTTATGGATCAGTACTGTTGGTGTTGTTGTTGTTATGGATCAGCTGGTGTTGTGAGTTGTTATGGATCAGTACTGTTGGTGTTGTTGTTGTTATGGATCAGCTGGTGTTGTAGTTGTTATGGATCAGTACTGTTGGTGTTGTTGTTGTTATGGATCAGCTGGTGTTGTAGTAGTTATGGATCAATACTGTTGGTGTTGTTGTTGTTATGGATCAGCTGGTGTTGTAGTTGTTATGGATCAATACTGTTGGTGTTGTTGTTGTTATGGATCAGCTGGTGTTGTAGTTGTTATGGATCAGTACTGTTGGTGTTGTTGTTGTTATGGATCAGCTGGTGTTGTAGTTGTTGATGGATCAGTACTGTTGGTGTTGTTGTTGTTATGGATCAGCTGGTGTTGTAGTTGTTATGGATCAGTACTGTTGGTGTTGTTGTTGTTATGGATCAGCTGGTGTTGTAGTTGTTATGGATCAATACTGTTGGTGTTGTTGTTAATTGGATCAGCTGGTGTTGTAGTTGTTATGGATCAATACTGTTGGTGTTGTTGTTGTTATGGATCAGCTGGTGTTGTAGTTGTTATGGATCAGTACTGTTGGTGTTGTTGTTATGGATCAGCTGGTGTTGTGATTTGTTATGGATCAGTACTGTTGGTGTTGTTGTTGTTATGGATCAGCTGGTGTTGTAGTTGTTATGGATCAGTACTGTTGGTGTTGTTGTTGTTATGGATCAGCTGGTGTTGTAGTTGTTATGGATCAATACTGTTGGGTGTTGTTGTTGTTATGGATCAGCTGGTGTTGTAGTTGTTATGGATCAGTAATGTTGGTGTTGTAGTTGTTATGGATCAGCTGGTGTTGTAGTTGTTATGGATCAATACTGTTGGTGTTGTTGTTATTATGGATCAGCTGGTGTTGTAGTTGTTATGGATCAGTACTGTTGGTGTTGTAGTTGTTATGGATCAATACTGTTGGTGTTGTTGTTGTTATGGATCAGCTGGTGTTGTAGTTGTTATGGATCAATACTGTTGGTGTTGTTGTTGTTATGGATCAGCTGGTGTTGTAGTTGTTATGGATCAGTTTTTGATGTTTTAGTTGTTATGGATCAACTGTTGTTTTAGTTGCCATGGATCAGTTCTGTTGGTGTTGTAGTTGTTATGGATCAACTGATGTTGTAGTTGTTTTGGATCAGTACTGTTGGTGTTGTTGTTGTTATGGATCAGCTGGTGTTGTAGTTGTTATGGATCAGTACTGTTGGTGTTGTAGTTGTTATGGATCAATACTATTGGTGTTGTTGTTGTTATGGATCAGCTGGTGTTGTAGTTGTTATGGATCAGTACTGTTGGTGTTGTTGTTGTTATGGATCAGCTGGTGTTGTAGTTGTTATGGATCAGTACTGTTGGTGTTGTTGTTGTTATGGATCAGCTGGTGTTGTAGTTGTTATGGATCAGTACTGTTGGTGTTGTTGTTGTTATGGATCAGCTGGTGTTGTTTGTTATGGATCAGTACTGCTGGTGTTGTAGTTGTTATGGATCAGCTGGTGTTGTCTTAATTATGGATCAGTACTGTTGGTGTTGTTGTTGTTAGGGATCAGCTGGTGTTGTTGTTGTTGTTGTTGTTGTTATGGATCAGTACTGTTGGTGTTGTTGTTGTTGGGGATCAGCTGGTGTTGTTGTTGTTGTTGTAGTTGTTATGGATCAGTTTTTTTTATGTTTTAGTAGTTATGGATCAACTGTTGTTTTAGTTGTTATGGATCAGCTGGTGTTGTAGTTGTTATGGATCAGTACTGCTGGTGTTGTAGTTGTTATGGATCAGCTGGTGTTGTAGTTGTTATGGATCAGTACTGTTGGTGTTGTTGTTGTTAAGGATCAGCTGGTGTTGTTGTTGTTGTTGTTGTTGTTGTTGTTGTTATGGATCAGTACTGTTGGTGTTGTTGTTTTTTTGATCAGCTGGTGTTGTGGTTATTATGGATCAGCTGGTGTTGTAGTTATTATTGATCAGCTGGTGTTGTAGTTATTAAGGATCAGCTGGTGTTGTAGTTGTTGTTGTTGTTGTTGTGGATCAGTACTGTTGGTGTTGTAGTTTTATTGATCAGCTGGTGTTGTAGTTATTATTGATCAGCTGGTGTTGTAGTTATTATTGATCAGCTGGTGTTGTAGTTATTATGGATCAGCTGGTGTTGTGTTGTTATGGACCAGTACTGTTGGTGTTTAGGTTTTTATTGATCAGCTGGTGTTGTAGTTATTATTGATCAGCTGGTGTTGTAGTTATTATTGATCAGCTGGTGTTGTAGTTATATGGATCAGCTGGTGTTGTAGTTGTTATGGACCAGTACTGTTGGTGTTGTAGTTTTTATTGATCAGCTGGTGTTGTAGTTATTATTGATCAGCTGGTGTTGTAGTTATTATTGATCAGCTGGTGTTGTAGTTATTATGGATCAGCTGGTGTTGTAGTTGTTATGGACCAGTACTGTTGGTGTTGTAGTTTTTATTGATCAGCTGGTGTTGTAGTTATTATTGATCAGCTGGTGTTGTAGTTATTATTGATCAGCTGGTGTTGTAGTTATTATTGATCAGCTGGTGTTGTAGTTGTTATGGACCAGTACTGTTGGTGTTGTTGTTGTTAAGGATCAGCTGGTGTTGTTGTTGTTGGACCAGTACTGTTGGTGTTGTTGTTGTTAAGGATCAGCTGGTGTTGTAGTTGTTATGGACCAGTACTGTTGGTGTTGTTGTTGTTAGGATCGGCTGGTGTTGTAGTTGTTATGGACCAGTACTGTTGGTGTTGTTGTTGTTAAGGATCAGCTGGTGTTGTTGTTGTTGTTGCTATGGATCAGTACTGTTGGTGTTGTTTTTGTTTGCTTACATAGCAAATCTTATAACAAGTTGTCAAGGAGCGTTTATGTCAAATTCATTTTTTTTAATAACTTTCAAAGGAATCTTGACTGTGATGTTTCTTGGTGTTGGTAATTATGAACGTCAGAAAATCAGAAAAGTTTATATCAAAACACGATTAAGTTAACTAGATAAGCGATAAGTTACTTCAATATATCAGCACATAATGAAAAGCGTAAATCCTTCTTTTGTTTCTTAATATTTACAGAAAGCGTTTAATGAACAGGCCTTATGATAATCATTAGAAGATGCGGTCCATGGAACTTACAGAAGGTAAGTATTGTATATTGACAAGATTTATTTTCTCGGTGTACCAATTCCCTCATTTAATATGTCTCTCGCAGTGTTCATGGATCTGTTTTATTATTCCTCAGAGCTGATGCCATCTAGAGAAATCATTTATGATCCTGTTAGAACAGTAGAAAACATGTTACTATCCGTTTCATACCTTATAAAATATACAACATGGGCAGTCAGTAGCCTTTGTTTTGGAAAGTATCATGTTTTAACTCTGACTTTGTCATGTCGTGGAGTGGCAGCATCAGACATCGTCATGAAAATACATAAGTTTTCCTCCCTATGTGTATTTATAATGTCTGTGAATCGTGGAATCTCTTTTAGTGGATTTTTTGGCATATCCTTAACGCCTGAACCTCAACAGTGTAGCGATGACGAGTTAATTATATCATTAATCTCTCGTACTCACGCACTTTCGACTCTCACTGACCATCACCACGACCTCATCTGCAAATTTGGTAAGAAGCTTCTACACCATCCTCGACACCGGCTCCTACTACCACCTGAGATCCCTAGCCCGAGAATTGCTGTTCGACACCACAACCGCATCCAGCCCATACGTGCACGAACTGATCGCTATAAGAACAGCCCAGTCCCAACCATTGTAAAATTTTCAATAACTTGTAATAAACCAGTGTATTCACTCCCAGTAAACACTACTCCTTGCACTGTCACTATGTTGAAATGAACTGTAGTTTGAGCTTTTCCCCATCTAGTTATTATATATCTTATTTGTATCACTTATGTTACTTGTATATTATTTGTAATTCGAAACCCATTCCCCAAATATGTAACTGTATATTTTCAGCCTTTTACGTGCCAAGCTCTTTCAATAAACCGTTAATTATTATTATTATTATTATTATTACATCTACAGAACACGTAAATAACTCCTTGTAGTCACGAGACAAAGGAGGGAGGGAGATGGGTGCCTCCTGCCTATGGTAGTTTCTACACCAGACATTATTACGCAAAAAAACTAAATAATGGTAATTACAAAACCCCAGAGTCAGTGTGTTTGGATATGGGCGATGAAGGTTAATATAGGTGAAGGGAAATGTGGTTATCTTACCATGGTCAACGAGACATTCTCAGCTGAAAGACGACTGGTATATAAGCCGCGTCTCACGATGTCTCGTCAGTCTCTGGTACACCGCAACAACAACAACCAACTATACAAGGTAAACACTTGTAACTCTGTAGTACACCGAATGGCTGTTGTACATTATATCACAACATCCTGACATTTCGTTGAATATATTTGAGTCCTTTTATCTAAGAGCAAAGTGATAGTCTCTTGTTGTTGAGAATGTCTTTCCTTAACAGTAAGCCAGGTTGCTGCTCGCTTTGATTTACATTCATTTCTCTGACATACTTCTTTCTTTCATCCATCTGAAGATGAATGGACATCTAGTCATCGCTCTTGCCGTCGGCGCTGCCGTCGTGGCCCTAACAGACAGCACTATTCTGTTGGCCGGCACAGGAGTCACGGTGAGCGGCGGGCCTGGCAGCCGGCGCCGCAGTTGTGGGCGCCCTGGCTGTGGAGCCGCTGCTGTAGCACTAGCGCGCCGCGGCAAGAGAGAAGTCGCGTCCTGCCTTCCCTTCGGTAACCCGGAGCTCTACTTCTCCATGGCTGCTAACTCAGACTTCCTGGACTGTGGTCGCCGCTTTGTGTGCGAACTGGAGGCCACTGCTGATGGTAACCTGAGTGAGGAAGAGATTCTCATCCGCAACTTCTTTGGGTGAGTACTTGTTGTTGTTATTAGAACTGGACAGACTCTCTCTCTTCCCCATATGACCCACAATATTGTCTTATACTCTTTGGTAACTTGTTTTATGACAATGTTTATGCTTTATTACGCCTCTGAGGGAAAGTAATTATTGCCCTCTCCAGGAGGAGAAACTCCGCTGTCAACGGACTGCCGGAACTTTCTTCACTAAGGCCGGCAGCGTCGGTGCCATCAACGGCGTCGCTGCCTGTGCCATATCTCCACCTGTCCCTTTGACAGGAAGACCATCTTCTTGGCATTCAAGGAAGCACAGAAGGCTCAGTAAATCTATAAGTTTTCCCTTCACCGGGTCTGACGCCCATAGACCCACGAGGACTAGGTAGTTCGGGCGTTAGTGCCACCTATAGCGGCCGCGACAAGACCAGAGCCAGGTGTGTCGCGGCTCAACATGATCTCCAGCGTGTGGCAGTCTTACTGCGTCTACTGTATCTATCATTATTGAATAAATATTTTGATAACATCTTTTGTTTCAAACTTATACCTATATATATGTTAACCAGTGTGACCCTCACTACCATACACATGGCAGGTTTTTGCGGGTACTCTGGTTTCCTCCTGTACTAACACTTTACAATAACATAACAAAGATCCGACCAACCAACTGGTGAATTGATGCAAATAAAGGGAACTTATGATCTGTGCAGTTCTGGTGTGTTTCATTGTGCTGTTTGTACCAATTGGGCTGATACCGAGTCCTTACGTCAAGTTTCAGACAGACAGGCAGACATACACAATAAGGCAAATTTCAAAAGAAAAAAATCGTATAATAATGCCATAACCCATCATAAAGTGCATAAACAATGGGCACTGGTTATCTGTCATCTCAGCAAATGAGAGTAATGTCCTGTGTGTGTGTGTGTGGGGTAGGTGAAGAGCCTTGCCCATTCCTAAGGTAAATGGGTTATTTTTCCAACACGCCTGAGAGACAGACCTTGCCCTTCCCTCCTCCACCGTCCCTTCCTCACTCTTTTGCCTCCACCCTCACTCTTGCCTCACTCCTCACTCTTCACTCTCGCCTCTCTCCTGTTTACCTCTTTGCTCGCCCCCCCTCTCTCCTAAGCCAGCCACCATTACCGCCTCGGGATATTCCAACACTCTCATCCCTGTAATTGCTGCAAAAGGTCTTCCCATATAACACGTACACACACACACACACACACACACACACACACACACACACACACACACACACACACACACACACATTATATTGTACACTCTTATACACCAGCAGGTAAAGTATTATTCCTTGATCATGAAATTATTCTGAAAATTCATCCTACAGTAAAATCTTTAAACCATCGTCCTCAAAGGGTTAAGCCATCGTCCACAAAGGGTTAAGCCATCGTCCTCAAAGGGTTAAACCATCATCATCAAATGGTTAAGCCGTAATCCTTCCTTGAGAACGATGATTTAACCGATTGAGTAATATGAACCATTAAGTACGACGACTTTACCCTTGAGTAGTGTTATAGTACCCAAGGAGTTAAATGCAGGAAGAACCACCAACTCCACCACACACTATTAAATGTCATTGATTTCTGTTGTATTGTTGAGAATTTCAGCCGTAATATACTTGACGGCCAAGAACACACGAGAAACATAAATGTTCCTCAAGAAGTTAATGGTTATACTCGAGACGGTATATTCTAAAGGTTATATTCCAGTTACTATAATGTAAACATTACATATCAGACATGTTCAAATTCATCATATTCGGGATATTTTGTGACTGCACTAAATAACAATGATAACAGCGCCTGCAGCTTAATGGTGAACACAGTGGTGGTGACATAACAGTGTGGTAATAATGCCTGCAGGTTAATGGTGAAAGGTATGGTGGGTGAACACAGTGGTGGTGACATAACAGTGTGGTAATAATGCCTACGGCTACAGGTTTATGGTGAAAGGTATGGTGGGTGAACACAGTGGTGGTGACATAAGTGTGGTAATAATGCCTGCAGGTTAATGGTGAAAGGTATGGTGGGTGAACACAGTGGTGGTGACATAACAGTGTGGCAATAATGCCTACGGCTACAGGTTTATGGTGAAAGGTATGGTGGGTGAACACAGTGGTGGTGACATAAGTGTGGTAATAATGCCTACAGCTTAATGGTGAAAGGTATGGTGGGTGAACACAGTGTGTAATGGTGATGGTGAAAGGTATGGTGGGTGAACACAGTGGTGGTGAACCTACAGCTGGTGAAAGGTATGGTGGGTGAACACAGTGGTGGTGACCTAACAGTGTGGTAATAATGCCTACTGCTTGATGGTGAAAGGTATGGTGGGTGAACACAGTGGTGGTGACCTAACAGTGTGGTAATAATGCCTACAGCTTGATGGTGAAAGGTATGGTGGGTGAACACAGTGGTGGTGACAGACTGGTGAGTTATAACGTTCACTATTACGACAGTGGCTATTATACTCGCATGTGCTAGGTAGTACTGTATAGGGAGATTGAGGTGTGACGCAGCCTGTAAGGTATAGGAGATGTAAACAGGGAAACCAGATACCAGATGAACAACGATGCCATAGAGAAATCCGACTGCGAGAGAGATTTAGGAGTAATGATAAGTAGGAACCTTAAGCCAAGTAAACAATGTGTTTTTGCTCGTAACAAGGCTAATAAAGTGCTACTTGGGTTCATACAAAGGAGTGTTAGTTACAAGACTAGCGAGGTCATCCTAAAACTGTATCTTGCTCTTGTGAGACCACACCTGGATTACGCAGTTCAGTTCTGGTCACCGTATTACAGAATGGATATAGAATCCTTGGAAAGAATTCAGAGGAGAATGACAAGACTAATCCCGGGCATTAGGAACCTTGAGTATAGAGACAGGTTAAAGCATCTTAATTTGCACTCCCTTGAGAGACGTAGAGCGAGGGGCGACCTGATAGAGGTGTATAAGTGGAAGGCAGGGCTAAACAAAGGGGACATTACAAAGGTACTCAAACTATCCAACCAGGAGCGAACTCGTAACAATGGTTTTAAATTAGACAAATTTAGATTTAGGCGTGAAATAGGTAAACACTGGTTTGGAAACAGAGTAGTGGATGAATGGAACAAGTTACTAAATATCATCATTAACTCGAATACGCTGAATTGTTTCAAACATAGGTTGGATGCTCATATGAGCAATAGGGGTTGGGTGTAAACGGGACTGCCCAGTATGGGCCAATAGGCCCGCTGCAGTTTCCTCCATTCTTATGTTCTTATGTTCTTATGTATATGGAAGGGAAAGGTCGAGGCTGTGAAGAGGGCGTAAAACGCCATGTAACACCGTCAATCGTTGTATTTATCTATACGTGATGCCTTAATGGAATGACTGTCTGATCGTTGAACAAGCAGAGGGTAGAGAAGGCAGCTTTGTGGAAACCACGAAACATCAAAGTTATTTTCATAATAATCATACGTATTACATTAATGATTAGAAATCGACCTTAAACTATTGATAGCAATGAACATAGATAGCAGGTCATTAAAAAGGTCACCTCCAGTTGTGCCCATATAACCTTTGAGGAATAAAGTGGTGGTTCCTTTGAACACAAGGGAGGAGGAGAAATCTCTATCGCTGCTGTAGAACGAAGTAAGGTCATCATCTGGCTACAAGCCTTCATTATCTTCTCGGTGAAATTCCTGTAAAGGCCTTGTGGTACCCTACACATCAGCCATCAGGAAGTGGTCCAACCTTAATATATTAAATCGAAACTTTGAATACACTGAATCGGTCTTACCGGTCTCTGAACTCTCTAGATATATTTAATGTATCTAGTGTACAGAGACTCCATTGTCTGTCATCATAACACTGTACAGTACGTATAGCAGTAACTATTCTCAGTCAGATATCTTGAGCAAATAACTTTGTAAATCATGTCTCTTAATGAAAAATTACAACTTGGATTTTTCTTTTTTTTTTAGGAAGACACCAAAATATGAAATTTATTCTATAAAGAACTCGAGTACAATACAGTCCGCTAGTATAATAAGTGGATATATACTTTAGTAGTAACGTCGGTCGACGGAGAAGTAAATATGTAGCAGGGTAGATCAGTTGCAAAAGTGTGTAGGGGGAGTAAATATGTAGGTCAGTCGCGGGGGGGAGGGATGATCAAAGACTTTCACCGTCTTTTTCTTTCACGTTAACTAAGACGAACAAAACCATATAAACTTTCAAAAAATCTCCGTGCACAGTAGAAGCTAGTTTGACTATGTCCATCATACTTGAGAGAGGGATGTTTGCTAACTTCTCCGGGAAAAAAATATCGTTGGAACTGTTGTGAATCTGAAAGCTGTGGAACCAGGGTACGGGAAACCGCAGTAAGTATCTCTAACCTGGCGTGATTACCTGTAATTACTTCCCAGATAGGAGGGGAAGGGGAGGGGAGGAAGTTTATGGACTACTAACTTTCAAATGATGAGTTACCAACACCCGAAGCCCTTCAGTAATAGACCAACATGTTGCCCTTAAATGTGATCATTGTTTTAGGAAGGTAAACAAAATACTAGAAATAAATTATTTACTTTTATTCTATAGTTCAATTTCTTTTTATTACAAATATACAATAATATTTTAGTCGTGCAATCTTGACGACTTGCATAATAAGGTGTCCAGAGAAAGACGTCAGCAAGAGGGAGGGGCAGAGAGCTAGAGTGATGAAGACATCGTCAACACTCAGAGAGTGTAACGACCACGGTCTTACACGTCAGTTAGCGCCAAAATCAAATGGTTCATATTACGCTCAATAGCCCACAAAACATGTAACTCGGCTTTCGTTTGAGTCCTCGATCTGAGGAGTCCGTTTTCTCATCACTTCAAGACACCTCAGCCCTCCGTTATCCCATTTTCTCTGACTTACTGAAACCAACCTCTCTATAAAATGAATTTGATTGTGAGAGAGAACACCCTTGTTTTGAGTCAACCTAGATATGTCTGTTTACAGTGGGAACATTCAAGATCCATTGTGAGTGGGGTAGAACGCTTCAACTGTCCTTATTGCTAGTAAAACGTGTCAAGTAAGTGAGTGTCGAGTTTGCCAGCTAGAGTGGCGTATTTTATGTCGTCCGTGGGGGTATCCATGAGTTTCTGATCGCGCCTGAAGTTATATCATTTTGTCGCCCCGACATCAGAGAATCTGATGTTTATAGTTTAGTTAGTGTCAGTTGTCTATTTAAGAAAGTCATTAATCTTCTGAACTATTCTGTCAACTGGTATAATCTCCAAGATCTAGCGCCTCCCCGTGAATAGCGCCTTGTTCGTCTCCGGCCTGAGCTTGCAGAATTCATGTTATCAACGTGTATATTCCACCTTTTCCTGGCAAGCTCAACCTCTGATTAGATTATATGAATAGACATAGGAAATTACCCTGATCAAGAACACCGGAGTTCATAACCAAGTATACAGTGATCCAAAATGATAGAGAAGTTATGTTGTTGGTAAGATCGACCCTTCTGGTATGAAT